GCAAAGTAATTCCATAATCAAAGACGATGGCTAAAAACTTTCATATCACAATAAAGTGTCATGTCGGTCATTTACCCCTGCCAGTCCCAAAATGGCGGGACTGAGATAGGTTTGAATTTTGCGCCACTCTATTGCAAAATAATTTAAATATCGATCCGAGACGATGCCTCATGATGTAGAGTGTCATTTTCGGAAAACCTACAGTAATATTTACCTCAAATGTTCTCATCTCAGTCATGGTGGGACTGTGGTAGGTCTGTAGGACTTGGGCCTTTTTGGACTGCAAAGTAATTTCATAATCTAAGACGATGCTTTAATTTAAGGATTCTTTATTATTGTACATTTTGCAATCTAAAAGTTTATTTATTTATTTATTTGCCATCAGGGACACTTTATCCTCTCAAATTTTACCTCAGCCCCAGCAATGATGACACTGAGATGGGATTTGACATACGCCACTTTTCACCAATCAAAGTAGTGCCATTATGAGGTTTATAAATCGATAAATTTAAGAACTTAAAACGCCACCGTCTCGATTCCAATGGGACTCAGCACCACACCCAGCAGGATCCACTCACTTGCAGTCGCACCCCTATATTTTAAATCCTGCCTATGGACCTAGGTGGTGAATTTATATCATGTTATTTGCTTGTGTGATTTTTGCATCTAATGAATTAATATTATTATTTTAATGTTTGGTAAATGTGCAAATGCTTGTAACGATTATGGTTTTTTAAATCGATGTAGAATTTACAATAAAAATGTACACAGTATTGGGAATATCGTGGTAAAGTGGATGCAGAATGAGTATCTTTGTTTGTTGCTTTTAAGCTGTTTTTTGCATCAACGTATTGTGTGCTAAAATAATTAAAAAGTTAAATACAATAGAATCCCTCATTCGGGACACCCATATTCAGGAAAAACCTCTATTAAGGGGACACTTCCCGTCTCACGACGTAGGTAGATAAATATTTGTTTAACACTAAAGTAACCCCTATTACCCCTATTGAGGGGACACTTTTTTTGGTCCCGAAGGTGTCCCATATTAGGGGTTATACTGTACAGAACTTTCTACTAATATTATACAGTATCATCATAATTTGCAGGATACAAATGGGTAAAGATGTTTAATAATATTGTGGCGGTGATTCACAATAATATTGACTGAAATTCAAAGATGAAGCCTAAATTTACTATATACAACGATTATGTAGTTGTGTTTTTTTTTTAAATATTTTCTATTATATAAACCACAGGTCGTCTGTGTTTAAATTTGGTGCGTGTAGGAACACCTTCCATGAGTTTACGTAATGCGCCACTGTTACGTAATCACAATAAATTATTAGGTATAATATCTGGTTATCTGATGCTAAGCGGGGCTTTGTTCTCTGAAAGTTATTTATTTGCAAATTCGTTGTACAATGTCATCCAATTGCATACAAATACATTAAAAGCCTCCGTCATGTGATGTATTACAACCAATTGAAATGTATCACGGTTTTTGTGCTTCTTTAACAACCAATGAAGAACCAGATTGTTTAAACAAGCAAGATAACATTGTACCCATAACGGTTTTGGCGGCAGTTCATTCATTTCTTCAACGCTGTCAAAATCTCATCAACGCTCACGTAATCGATTTACTGTATACAGTATTCTGACTGTATTTTGTGATTCCCCCGCTCTTTGAGAAGATGTTGTGGTTTTGCGTATTTTTTCACGTAGACCAAATGGTTGCAGTAGTTAATCGAGCACAGTGCTTAAACTCAGACGACAATCTAAAGGTTGGACAAGACACTAAAGTTAAATGGAAAGCAGGAAAAACCTCTTACTTCCTAGCGAGAATCATCAAAGTCAGTGGTAAGTTCATAACGATAATGAAGTGTAAATATTAATATTAAGGTTCACTTTAAAATACGTTTGATTTTATTACAAATATACTTAAGTTCATCATTTTAGAAACAATATATGTTGAAGAGTTTAAGATTATTATTGTAAAATTAGATTACATAGTTACTGCATAAATATCAAAATTTCGCCCTCTATAGCTACAGAAATTTAACTTCCTTCATGACAAAGAATGGTGGTACTTGTTTTGAAACAAGTGAAATAATATGAAATTGCCCTCATGCCCGGTCTTAATGGCCTGATTATACGGTGAGTATCGTATTCATTCAAATATAGTAATTAATATTTAATTAGACTAAAATATATTTAATGAGTAGGCCTACCATGGTCATTATTCCTAAAAGTTAATTAAAACTTATGTCAACAAGCATTTTCTTCATAATGAAATACAGTACTGTAGTAATAAAAAGAAGATTTAAACAGTGTTTTTACACTATTTTATAGAATGTTATGGTGTATGTTTAGATTATAAATTCCATGAACGAAAACAAATTTCATGTTTTTATGTGATGAGCAATAAAACTGAAACTGAAAATTGATTGGTTGATTGAAAACTAATATCAATTCAATACCGTCTTTAACAAAGACGATTGTGATGGTTGACACCGTAGATGTAAATATATTTTTCTATGCAAATATTTGTTGTTGACAAGTATCCACTGGTCACTAAAATCGTATTGATTATGCCAAGAAAATATTGTTAACATACCTTAAACACTGCAACATGTATGGATTTAAATAAACACAACTTGAATCTATCACGGACTAATTATATTCCTAACAATCGGTACAAGTACAGCACTCACATATAGTCAGACTCGAAGATTTATTATTATTATTATTATTATTATTATTATTATTATTATTAGTATTATTATCGTCATCATTACTATTATTATCATTACTATTATTATATCTTAAGTACATCCTAACAATCCAAATCTAACATTAAAATATATCTTCTTCAACCATGGTTGAATAGACATAGGCCTAACAGTCAGAAATAATACTTTTGTTATAACAATCAACCTTAATCTGTTTAACAGTGGTGGGCGTTAAACAAAGAGCGTTTTTGCTACTACGTTCAGCTCACGAATATGGATGCACACGCGCCCTCTTCGTTTTCTCACAGGTAATATAAGTCTGTGGTTATTTAAGATTTTCCACCATTACAGTTCTAGAAAGTTATGGTGGAAAATAACACACCAAACTGTAACGTTATTTTAACGCCAATACAGTACAGTTTAACGTAAAAATGTTAAGACTGGGAATGGGAAGTAGAAAAAAGCGTTCCCGTTTTTGTGTCTATTCATTTATGAAACTATAACAATAAATGACATCTGTTTCATATTCTTCAACAACAATCTTACGTGTCCTTTTTAATTGTTGATAAATTATATTCCCATTTATTACATTAAGTACTTATAAACAACACTATAACAGATTGGACCCTATACCAAAACTCTAAATGTAACATATGTTTACTAACCGAGTACATTATATTAAAATGAAACTCGCATAGGCCTATCCTCTGTTGTCTTATCTATATTTATGAAATTATACTGTAGATGTATTCATTTTGTTGATGTACAGTAGATGTGTTTTGTTTTCATTTATTACCATTGTACGTTACAGTATAAATAATGTATTAAAATGAAGCTCACACATTTCGTTTTTGAGGTAATTTATTTATAACAAAAATGTAAAGAACATATATCGTCGATACAATATCAAAGGTATACGCAACAGGATATTGAATAGGCCTACTGTAAAGATTGTACAGTATATAATGTTTGAAATGTCAAGTTGTATTTTTACAAAAACAGAATCATGTATGTTATGTCTTCAAACAGCAGGAAACGTAGGTCTACAATAAATAAAGTTAAAGAATTAAGCGAGACAAATTGTAGCAGATTAAATACATTATCAAAATGAGGGGTCGGGAAGGTCGTACGACAACCCCCACCCCCTAAAAAAAGTGTTCTGAAACATATATGCCGTGTCAAATTTATTAATGGAATAGTCTTGTTTATAATTAATCGATTTATTAACACTTTTCATGACTTATAATCAACGAAAAATTGACTTAGGCGCACCATATACAATAGCGTAACACATTCGGCGGCCAAAAATGAGCGGCGGTTGAAATGACCGAACACCCAAAAAGACTGCTGATGAATATTAATATGCATTTGTTATGTTTAATATAGTAATACTGGGTTTTGTTATCTTAATTTATAATAATAAAACAGGCGCAGGTGCTCACGGCATCCAGTACAGTAAGTTGTTAGTCTCAGCTTTTTTTTTTTTTTTTTTTTCACATTGTTTCATTTGATCAAGATATGCTTTCTTTTCCTTCCCTCTTTGTGCTTTCCCTGTATGTGGCCTTCTAAAACTGTTTTGAGTAGTAAGTAATCACATTCTCTTGTACACCATGGATAATAATCCAGAACCTGCATCTGAATGAATGAGGCCTAGTTATTAATAGGCCTAGTACCTCTGTTTCTGTTGTTGAATAAATTATACCTGAATATAAATAGTATTGTACTGTACGTTCTTGATTACTTACATAGGCCAAGTTAATCAATGCCGAAATAATTAATAATAATAATAATAATAATAATAATAATAATAATAGTAATAATAATAATTCTCTTAATAATAATAATACCGTAATAATAATAATAATTATTATTATTATTGTTATTATTATTATTATTATTATTATTATTATTATTATTATTATTATTATTAAAATAATCTAAATGTATTGTACTGTACGTTCTTAATTACATAGGCCAAGGTACTAGGCTAGATTATAGATATGAAAAATACTGCACACTATCCCAGCAGTAATGATAAACAAAAAAAAAGTTATGGTTGGCAACTGACTGCAGTAGTGACACTGACCAATACCGAGATAGCGTGCGGTACCGTATTCCACTACCTAAAATATTTTTAATTATATATAATTATATATATATAATTATATATATCCATATATATATATAATTATATATATAGGTATATATATATATGTCTATATATGTATATATATATGTATATATATATTTTTCTCCAGAAACCAGAAACAGTAACAGCTTTTGTCTTTTCTTAGATGGCAGATCTGGAAAATAAAATTAAAATTGAAGGCCCTCAATCACCATTAACATATGCAGCATTGACAACACATGGGGATCAACCAACCGAATCGACAACCTTTATGGATATGTTGGAGGAAGTTGAGTGTAAAAAATGCAAAGACTTGAAAGAAAAACTAAAAGCTGCAGAGGCTGCAAACAAATTTCCCGGTATGTAATTTTATAATGTAGTGTACATGTATCGTTGTAAGGCCTGATCATCTCATGATAAGTGTTCAAGCCGTCATTAGTCAGACTGTCAAATCCTAAACGAAGTTGAACATGATTAAATATTTTCAGCTAAAAACAGTTATTTTTCCTTAGAGATTATCTGAAATGATATGAAAATAACATGTTCTGCATTTTATCCTAGCAGAAGAAAAAGTAAAAATTATATTTTATATACCGCATAACTTTTTTGAACACTTGTATTAGTAGTTTTATGTACAACTTTAAAATAAATATCAACCAAACCATGACATGGCAATGCACATTTAGGTAATAGTCTTCCAAATCCAATTGGGCAACATCTTTAACACATTGGAAGTGTTTCACCATGCCCTAGAACCCCCCCCCCCCCAAAAAAAATATCATAGTACTGTAGGCATACATGCAATATTGTTGGGAAATGCAACAATGGTATAAGCTTGTTCGTAAATATAATATATAATTTTTTTTAATAGAGCCATCAGAAGACGTATTAAATTTTATGGAGTCGGTGCTCTCTATATACAGACCTAGATCCGTTATGGCTGTGAGTATTTTTTTAAATTATATTTTACTTATTTTATTCAGTATTCTATTCATTCTAAAACTAAAGAGACAATTTAGGATTATCATAAAATGCATACTAATATTCCAATTTCTACTTTAAAAAAACGTATTTTAAGTCATTAAAGCGGTGTTGATATTTTAATGGATTTTCTACTGCGTACTGTTAGCATGGGGCCTTTAACCTTCATTTACATAAATGACAAATATTCCAATTTCTACTTTATAAAAACGTATTTTTAAGTCATTACAGCGGTGTTGACATTTTAATGGATTTTATTAGATTTTTTTTACTGCGTACCGTTAGCGTGGGACCTTTAACCTTCATTTACATAAATGGTAGTATTAAACAAATACTTATTTATGTAAGGATTTTACTAACGCAGCAACCAAGCCATTCTCTTCTATAATGCATGACAGCAAACAGTACAGTATGTGTCATTTATACATATGAAATTCCCTCGTACATCATAACCGTTTTTTTTTTTTTTTTGTTTTTTTTTTTTATTTATTTATTTATTTATTTTACGCAATAAGCTGGTTCGGTGCTGAACTACATTATATTGTGTAGTGAATAACTAGTGTATGGTCATTTTAAATATTTAACTTTATTATGGTTTCAGGCACAACAAGGTAGGAAGCGACTACTAAGTGGGTATGACGTGTATATTCCAAATGTGATGTGGAATAATATAGAATCCTCAAGTGGGCAGAGTGGAAGGAGATTGCTAAGAAATCTGATAAGGGCAGTTTTTACAGAATCTGAGCTTGCTGAGTCAGCTGGACTGGGACTGCGGAAACAAACGGTTGGCTCAAAGTCACCGTTGGACCCAAAGAAGGTTCAATGTCTAAAATGTGAGAAAAACGTTTGAATATATATTTACCAGTACACCATAGTTTCAGAGATACTAACACTGGTATAATAGAATGTTTGGTATTATGGGTGACATATTATATTGTAGTTCCCAATCATGTCCCAATCTTTCAAACATTATTTCCAGGAATCTAATACACCTCTAAGAGGTTTTTCATTTATAAAAATGACCCTTAAACTATGGTGGCTTAGGTGTCTACGTTTCAATGTGCTCCAGATCTTCACATGACTTGTCCACTCAAGTTACGTATTTACAAAATACATCAATAACAATTTTATTAAGAATGGTTCGCTTTGACCATCAAGAAAAAAATTATATTAATTATTGTCACTCAGAATAAGAACCTTGAATATACATGTTTGTTAATACAATTCAAATTGACCTGACATACCACCTAACAATGATTAAAACCGCTTTTAAAGAAAGAAATATATACAGTAGATTAAACTAGAGTCTATTATTAGAAAATTAATTAACAGTGTTTTTAACCTTATTATTTTGTGTGCAATATTTAATAAATGTTAAATGTTGATTTTTTTTTTCTTTCAGTATTTGTGAACAACTACTGCGAGAAAAATAAATGGGTGATTCCGTCTGTTACCGAAGTCAATAAGGTCTTTGCAGACGCCGTAGGTAGAGCAAGAAGCATCCAAAAACATACTTAAGTGTGTTAAATGCTAATGTGTATGTGAATAAATAACAGTAGTAATATATTGTAGTAGATGTAATTAAATACCGTAAAACCTCGAATTGAAGCCATTGGCTTCTTGTTTTTATTGTGAACTTTAGATGGGCTTCCTTTCAGAGATGGGCTTCTTTTCAAGATGGGCTTTTTTCGAGGCTACTTTTGGAAAGTAAAGAGGGGGGCTTCTTTTCAAAATGAATGCTGCAAATTTTGTGAATTTATCCTATAAAACAATAAATGAGAGAAACTGTAACATCAATTTGTATCGTGGAGTGGACTTAACTGATATTGGCACCTAAAGTACTGTATAAACCAAGCTTGTTTTTAATTTATTTTGTTTTGAAATTCATGTACAGTGTATGTACTGTACTATCTCGAAAAGAAGTCTATGCTATCTTGAAAAGAAGCCCATGGACTTCATTTCGAGATGGGCTTCTTTTCGAGGCTAATTTTGCAAACTAGACAGGGGTGGGGTGGCTTCAATTCGAAATAGGCTTTTATCTCTCGAGATTAAGCCAATTGGGCTTCAATTCGAGGTTTTACGTAAGTTAATTCAAACATTTTATACCCACGTACTTGGATTACTCTTCCTCAAAATAATGTTTTTATTCTTTAGGATATTAATCTATATGAATAAATCTATATAAATGTTGCTTGTTTAAATTTTCCAACCATAAGGTTTATTATGTAGTGAGGCCTCAAATATTTTTCGGCAAATTATACCGAGTGAATATTGGTATGTTATATAAAAGTAATTAACATCTTTTGTATATTTTAAATTAGTTTTACAGCTATTTATGGTAGGCCTATGTTTTTAAATTGATTTTTTTTAATGCGATATAAGTGAAATAGTATCAACTTTTTTACCACTTTCGGGTATCTATATGAATAAGCCTATGTTATTTTTCCCAACCTTGAGATTTACTATGTGGTGAACTCACATATTTGACTATTTTTGAAAATAATAGTACTGTATATCTATAAATGATAAGATAACATTATTGGTGTATATTAATTAAGTTTTAACTATTTAAAGTAAATATTTGTGAATTGAGTAAAATGAGGTAAAATGTAAAATAGTAACATTAGCTATTAATATCACTTCAAGCTATTTATTATAGTACTAATTAATATCACTGACAATATATTCAGGTAACTGCTTTGGATGTCAAAGTGAAGTAATAAATGTTTTGAAAGCTTGATAATTTAGGCCCAAGTCTGTTTTCTTTTATTAATAATGTACTCAAAGTAGGCAGATGTATGACAGTTGTAACTGCATGGTTTATAAATTAAAACAGCGCTTGTGAAATAGCTACAGTTACTTTCAAACTACCACAATGCAACTACCAACTGCAAAACTACTATAATTGTCTAACAACTAGAAATCGTCTACCAGCCGTCTACTATAAAAGAACTACAATTCATTTAACAATAATCTACTACAGAATTTTTACAATTCCAGCCATCTAATACAATTTACCTACCAGTTGTCTACTACAAAAAAAACTATACTATAGTAACTGTTGACTTATTAGCCTAATATTATAAAACTACTACAACTGACCTATTAATATTCGTACAAAACTACTACAAGAAAGTATAATACATACTCAAAGTATTGAAATACACGCCATCGTGTTGGGATTCAATATTTCGACATTAATTATGTCATCATCAGAATACTACAAACTACCTATTATTAGCGATATTAATCAATTAGTAACACTGCTACTACTCTACCACTACTACTACTACTACACTACTACTACTACTACTACTACTACTACTACTACTACTACTACTACTACTACTACTACTACTACTACTACTAACTACTACTACTCTTACTACTACTACTACTACTGTAGTTTAGGCTCGCATTAGCCTACTGTCTGTAGCCTGACCCACACTACTCTAGCCTAGCCTATAATGTGCCACACTACTTGGCACTAAGACTTGACAAAGTTCTTCAGCTTGACAAAGGTTGATAACCGAAAACGTTTGCTCACTATTAAATAAATAAATACCTGGCAACTTATTACCTTCTCTCCGGAGTTTTTTGTTTTTACTATTTTGTTTGCCAATGCAGCCTTCCAGTTA